ACAAATTAAGAGCTTCTTACTGCATATTTTGTTTCTTGGTTTCTACTTCAGTGCTGTATAAGCACCTCTAGTTTCCTTTTCAAGGCTACCACATAAGTACCTACTGCTCTAGATTCAGTTAAACATCAGCACAAGCTGGGGGTATACGTGTGAGAATACCACTACGGTTTCATTATGTGGAAGTGGAAGGCAGGACGTGACCCAGAAAGGAAAAACAATGTACATTTTCTTCACTTCGTTGACTTTACAGTAACAGCTTACACTTAGCATAAGAATTTTTATGTTCAGTTCGTATAATATAAAGCGAATTTACAATTTATTCAACTTTGGACTCAATCGAATCGAAGGTGAGGCCGACTGACAAATTGTGAGTCAGAATCTGGAAGTGTGTACAGGACGCAATGAAGACACTGTGATAGCTGGGGATGTTGTAATTCGCAACAGTCGTAGAAGTGCCTTCCTGACGTCTCTGTTGAATGCAACGACGATAAATCTGAAATAAGGAATTGCTTCATTATCAACTAACATTCTTCTCTTACCTTGAAGGTATAAACTAAAGATGGCTGAATCGCATAAATACATAAAATGATTAGGAAAATTCATACACTCTCTCCTTACTTCAGAAAGTAGCCTACAGGACTAGCAAAATGTTGACCCGGTGCGGTAGCCAGCAGTATTGTTAATTCCAGCACGATATATCTTCACGAGAGTCACACAAACCACGGGGGAAAATTTGTTTTTTGAATTCTACTTCCCGGCCTGGTCTGTCTGAACAGAGCGCAAACCCCTCCTATTAACCGTGGTTTGCTGCGAGTGTTTGTCTTCTTATCTGTTACAGACACGGCAAAAGCTGAAGAGTCCCTGTAAAGCCACGAGTCGGGATTAGGTCCCAAGAGCCAGTCCCTTCCTAGAGTGAGAAAGAGGGGTCCCCAAGGCAGGAGGCACGACACTGTCGCGACTCAAAAGTGCGAGGCAACGGCGCTAAGGCCTTGCCTTGTGTGCTGCCGTGCTGCCATCCTTATCAACCACGGCATACGTGGTCTCTGCGCCCTCTCGCGTACGACGTACTATCTCGCGTTTTCCCTCCCCTGCACCGCACCAAAGTGGATGGTGTCAAGGCGAAAAGTCAGAAGAGCGATTTTAAAATAAGTGGCTACACGCACCGTGTTGATGGGTAAAATTATGGAAATCCACCCGCGGTGGTTGGATACCTCGGGAGATGGGCGGTGCTTTCTA